TTATCCCTCCCAGTAACGGAAGACTCATTTTATACATATGACACAATCATACTCATCAATCCAGGTTGACCAAATATTTAACCCAAATTTCAAATACCCGCCCCATTACCCATTTTACACCGGATTTACCCACAAATAAACTATCTAAAAACATAAAGAAAAAGCCCCTTTACTTGAATCTAAATTCTTGGGAGGGGGTAGTTGTATATAAATGTAAATGTATATAAATCATGAAGAATTTTCTTAACTTGAATCTAAATATTGTGGGTGATAATATACATGAAAATAAAATATGCAAACTAAAAATGTATACAACCCATCGTTTTATTGTACTCATTGCTTTTAGAAGCAATTTTCTTAACTTGAATCTAAATTCTTGATTTGATAATTTGTTGCATAACAATTGAATCGTTTTTGTGCTTGGATCTTAACTCTTGATTCAACCTCTTCCCTTCAATTGCTCTAAATTTTGTAAACTGCCCCGCAAGTACTAAATATTTCCCGTTGCTGGAAACCCTATGTCCCACAATCTTTAACCGAATTGGCATTCACAAAGTGGACCGCATAGCTCCTAAAATGAAGACTCAAAATGTAATATTATAAAAAAGATTAGACAAATAGAAACCGTATACAAACAGAAAAATCAAAAAATATTAAACATGTTTGGGCAATTATCTTGAATTGTGATGCCACGACTAGGTGGGAGAAAATCGAATTCAAAATTCAAAATTAATATGGATGAGAGATTTAGGAGAAAATTAGTGAGTGAAGAGAGGAGGGAGGAGACATAAGTTAGATTTGTATAAAACTGTATACAAATCCGTCGAGTGTATCTTTTGTTTCCAAATACAAACCATTTATGGGTCCCGCAACTCATAGCAAGTTTTATTAAACTATACCCGTGAATAGTAATTTTGTGAAACTATAGTTTCATTGACTAATATACTACTAAATTATTTTCTTTAGAAAGTATGGTATAATAAGCTGTATATTTAGATAATTTTTTTAATAATTAAGAGGGAAGGGACGGATTGCTTGATTTCAGGCAGTGGATGGGCCCGCGGTATATTAGCCCAGCGTTCCTTAGCGGGCCATCCCTATAAAGCAAAGCCCAATTCATATAAATGGGACTAACATCATAATTAGATTGAAATGTGGGGGCTGTCGCACGTGGCTGCTGTCCGCAACAAAATAATATCCAAGATTTTTCTTTTGGTTAAATTTATTTACAGTTTGATTAAATTTACTATGATTGAAATATATAAAATATGCATAATGATTATGTATACTTAACTATATAATTGCTGGCTATTTTATAAACTATTCATTAGACACTAATTATCCTTGATATCATAATAATCTATATCCGTAAAGAAGAAGATTGTAATAAATTGACTCATGCACCTGGAATTGAAACTGAAAATTTTAAAATTAAAAGAAAAAATATAGTCGTTTGGCTTATTAGTAATGATATATGATCGACAAGAAAAAATATTTTATTCCCAAATTATTTGACCATCTCCAATTCAACACCAAATTTTACACCATTTTGGTGTGTGAATAGCGTTACACCAAATTTGGTGTAACACTATTCATCACACCAATTAACTTTATTGAATAATTTAATATTATTTTATTATACAAAACTTTTAATTAAACATCATATAACTTGTATGTTTTAATTAAATCTCTTGTATATTTAATTATTTTTATGTAATATTTTTATAATATTAATTTTAGATATAAAAGTTAGCTTTCTTTATAAATTAATTTTTCTATATATGACTATTTTTAAAAATTAAATTTGTGTTACCGATATGGGTTGTGGTGCACTGGTGGGAGTGCTTCACCCTTAACCCAGAGGTCTCGGGTTCGAGCCCTGGGTATGGAGAAAATCTTGTTGGGAGCGCCCGATCTGAATTTAGTCGGATCTCCAATGTGGGCTCTGGACACCGGGTGGGAAACCAAAACCAAAAAAATAAAAATAAATTAAATTTATGTTGATTCTACTATAAATTATAGGTTAGGGATAATTGGATATAACTACAACTAACCTTCACAAAAATAAAAAATGCAAACATATTGTACTCGTATATAAATTTACTAAAATATCCTTAATTATTCTAGGGTAGGAGGTTTGACTAGAATTAAATAATATAAGGGACACCGGGTGGGAAACCAAAACCAAAAAAATAAAAATAAATTAAATTTATGTTGATTCTACTATAAATTATAGGTTAGGGATAATTGGATATAACTACAACTAACCTTCACAAAAATAAAAAATGCAAACTTATTGTACTCGTATATAAATTTACTAAAATATCCTTAATTATTCTAGGGTAGGAGGTTTGACTAGAATTAAATAATATAAGGTAAAGGGTAAAACAATATTTTGAAATATTATGTAAAGATATAATTGGAAAAAGAAATTAAGTAACAATGGGAACACACCAAATCGGTTATTCCATAAAATAGGGGTTTTCATTGTTACGTAACAACGAAATTTAACAATACAATATAATACAAAACATTTTAAGTAACAATCAAAACAAATGTTGTAGGTATAGTAACAATACAATACAATACAATGAGTAACAATGATCCAAATAGAATGTTAGTAATCTTGAAAGTTGAATATTTATGTAGAATTTAAAATAATTTTTTTAATTATGTTATGTTTATTTAATTGTATTTCATTAATGATTTCACTTTTATTTGTATTATGCATTATTATGTATAATGTATAATATTTGCTAGCAATTTATATCATTTAAAAAATTATGGTATAAAATAATTTTATATTAAACAATTATATAAGAAAATAATATGAATTATAGATGGTGAATGTTTTAGAAATAATTTGTTTAATGAATTAAGAAAATGTAAATGAAATAAGAAATAAGAAATAATAATATAATAATGAAGAAAGAAAAAAATATTCTTTTTTGGTATAAAATTTGATACAGTGGGTTCAAGTTGATTTACAGTAAAACAGTGCTGACACCAAATTTGATGTTTGAATTGGAGATGCCTAGTAACATTTTTAAAATGTAAATTCAAGCGATATCACAATGATGAGAAACAAAAAAAGAAAGAGCATGCTGACAAATTTAGAACGATTGTACTGTTTAAGGTTAGAGTAGTAGATAGTACTTTTTTTTTTTTGGATCTGTAGATCCTTTTCAGTTTTATTACTAGCAGGGAAATTGGAGAGCTTTCTTTTCTGGACCAAAAGAAACAGTAGTAATACTGTGTGATCTTGACTTATCTTCTATAGAAAATTAAACAAGCCACACACGTACGTGTAAATTAATACTCCTAAGCTAGATTCCATATGACACAGTAAAATCCAATTTTGAAAGATATTTGTTACTACTTGTGTTGCCTAAACAATGCCAAATTTTGGATCATCTTTCTCAAAGTTGGCAGACTTCAATATCCTTTCTTTGTTCTCATAGTAATATACCTAAACTTGATAGCTTTATATCGTGTCAAAGAACATGCCAAGGAGCACATTTTTTGCAGAGTCCTCACCTTTCTTATTTTAAAAATATTTTTCAATTATTTGACTAACTGAATATGAGAAAATACTACCAAACACACATACTAAACTCTTCAAGTACCTACTATATATTCAGTTTTTATTTTATTTTATATTAGTTTCAAGCTCTATTATTTCTAATAGTAAAGGGCTCAATTAGAAAAATGTGACATGAAATAATGAGTCCAAAGGAAAAGACAGATTATTAGTGAGTGATAACATTTATCGTGTTTTTCCAACGTGACCATGTAGTATGTAGACCAGTGTCCACATGTCTTTTCCTAACATTTTTTTTTTTGTTTGAAAGAGCGTACGGCCGTGGGGGTGCAGCAAGCCATTAATCCAAATACATTCTTAATTGGAAAATAAGAATGATAACTCCACTACATCTATCTTTTTATGCAATCGATCCAGTAATTATTTATGTGTCATATCACTCATATATGATGAAATTTTGAGGAGAACGATATCATAGAGTATGGATTAGGAGTATTACAGGAAAAATACAAAGCTAGATCGTTTTAATTCGTTCCTGATATAAATTAACAAATATTATATTATAAGATTGATGTAAATTTGTATAAAAATAGAATAATATACTCTACATGATATTATTTATTGATCCAAATAATGGCAGAAACATTATATGGTTGATCCTTAAACATTGATTCTTATATCTACTAATATACCATGCATATCATAAATATTATATATACGTATGACGACTGAACGATTATACAAATGGGGGTTATACAAATCTCTCTTGAGCTCGAACTTGTGTATCCTATATATTGTCATAGAATTAGTTGAGTAATACAAGATTTGATCTTATGGTGCATGCATGCGTTATTTAATTTATAGATAAATATTATGTTATTAGTGTTTAATGTGCAATATCAAGGCTTATGCCAACTGCCCAATAGTAAAATGCATGCAATAAAATTGCGATTCCAATAATTTGAAAAAGTGAATAATTTCAGGATCCAACGTTGTTATGCATCTTGCGAACTTGGAAGTTGGGAGTCAAGGGGAAAAAAAAAATTTAGTAATTAAGACTAATTTAATTTATACATTTTCAAGAGTAAATTAAATTAAAGAAATAAGCACGCCTCTAGCTAGCAAAGTAGTAACACTGAACGATGATAGATTTTATGAATTTCAATTGAAACCAGTGTATCCGCACCTATTATTACCATATCAATTAGTCTCAAAAAACTCCAATAAGAAAATGCAAAGTAGAAGCTAGGGGAGGGGAAATTATAAGTTCTAGCAAAGAAAAAGAGAAAAGAGGAAAATAAATTAAGTAGATGATAAAGTTTAACATGCATAACAAATTAAGTTAAGAAGAAAGCATCGGTACACAATAATTAAATTCATATTTGAAACGCAAATACTAGATGATCAATTTATCAACTATAATTATATTGCTCTAATGAACTTAATATTATTATTTCTCCTTGCTATTTACAATTATAGGTGTGCAATTAATCATGCCAACAAAGTAGCATAACTACACATCTTCTCACAATGTATAGCCTTCCTCTCTGCTCTTTTAGAAACCTCCCAAGTTTTCCACTGCATATCCTCTTCTTTAACTTTAAGTTAGCTCCATTTTTGCCCTTCATCATCTCTATTATACACAAAATATGATCAACAATGAGAAGCAAATTGTAGCTAGATTTAAACAAGTACTTCAAGATTGGAAGAATCTTATATTTCAACAAGTGGAAGAAGGAAATTAAAGGTCTTCTTATAGTGAAGGAGTACTCTACTATAATTAAGTGTACATGTGGTCCAACACATGCAATATTCACCTAAAACGAGCCACACATTACCTTTAAACTAGGACCCTCTTTTTTTTCTTCCAATTAATGATATCTTTAAAAGATTTTTCTAATTATCAATTCTTTTATAATTGTGTATTTAGAAAAATTCCCCTTTTCTAACCCGTCAATTATTGGTAATTTAGGAACACAATAGTCAAAGAGTCACAGGTTAAACTGCTCTACTAGTACACTATGGTCAACAACCAACACGATCAACTATATTCTATTTGAGTAAAATATATATAAAAAAGTTATTAAAATCTTTCAGAGAGGCAGGGGACACAAAAATATACAAATTTATATTAAATTAGTAGATGATAACTTTCATTCCAACCAAATTCAGCTTAATTTAGGAACATGTCACCGTTAACAGGGAACTTATTAAAACATGTCCCCGGTCTTTTGCTACTTTTGATAACTTTCATTAAGCAGCTTCCACTTCCAATGACTAGCCTAGTGTTTGTTACCCATCACTTTATGTTTTGATAACAATTGCAATCTGTTTTCAGATCTCATGTTCGAGTCTTATGCATGAAGAAAATACTACTCCCGAATAAACCCTATCGTGCACGATAGAGATTCAGTCGGGCTCTAAACACCGGGTGGAAAACCCAAAGAAAATCAACGGCAATGTGTAAATTTATTTATGTAACCACCGTTAATTTTGTTATAATCGTACGGTCTTTTTCATTGTCTTTATTCCGTAACCGAAAATAAAAATAATAAAAATCAACCACAGTATTATATGTTTTTAAGGCTAAATATAGTTGAAATATCTATTGAGTATTCTAGACGTAACATCAGTTGATTAGCAAGTCAAATACAAGTCTTTTTCTTGTTGTTCTTATGAAGAAGCTAAGCTGCCCGGATAATGACTGCTTTGTCATTGTCTCTGCGTCTTTCTAATTTCCAAATTTGAAACTGTTCTTGATACTAGGTTACGTTGAGAGAACAGATCAGATCGCTTATTTGTCAAATACTAACCACAAGTTTTTGTTTTTATTTTTATAAAGGATGCGACAAATATTCATGAGAGAAAAAAATAATGCTAGCTAATTGTTTTGATGGACAAAGTTATACCGCAGCTATAATTTAACACGTAAATTGATGCGAGTACCAATTTAATTAAGAAATGGAGTAGTAAATAACGTTTGAGTGGCTAATATTATTTTTTGTTAAAAATAGGTAGACCATAACCTAGAGAAAAAGAAGGCATAGAAAAGGAAACATGGGAGATGAGGAGACAATGGAGATTAAATTAGATTGTGAAGTCCACACAAGTTTCAAGTGGGGTATGAAAATGTGGGCTAAGTTTTGGCCCAATCTAGTTTTGTTATGTACAGTAGATAGGAGGACATGTTTGCACGTGAGCAGTGACCTTGCCGTGATAGACATTGTTCCGTATCGAGATATTATTTTTTTATTTTGAGCAACCTAACTTTTGAGTAAGATTTTTGAGAAAATTTGACATAATAAGATTATATAGCTATCATTTTGATAATTATAGTTTCGTTTGTTATGTTAGCTGCGTATATATCTGCCCGTTTAGGTAAGTATACAATTTTTTGTATAATCAAATAGCTAGAGTAATCATATATAAAATTTTGGATTTATACAATCAGAACTTAAATCGTACAAATTTCTAGATTTTATACGTGTGTTATGTTTTGAATTGTAACAAGGGCTCTTTCTTATGTGTTCTGTTATTAGTCCAGAAAGCTTCAGGCCGGCCTATATATCAAGTGGACAAGTCTTGACTCTTAATCAACGAAGATAGTGGACTCGCTTTTGGGCCACATCATAATTGGGTCAAACTCCTTTCGGCCCGTTATGAAAAGTGAAGAACAGAAATTAAAAAGAAGCGCCGTTGCCGGGGATCGAACCCGGGTCACCCGCGTGACAGGCGGGAATACTTACCACTATACTACAACGACTTTGTTGTAAGGTAAATCAAAGATGTCGTATTTTTATGTTTGATTTCTTGACATCTACTTTACCCTAGTAAGGATTTCATCAATTAATTAGTCAAAGGCAAGAAAAAGAGAGTCAAGATGGATGTTTTCAAGATTTTACTACTATATTGCTTCGATAATTGTTCCACGTTAAGTTATCTAAAGTATTACTAATACTTTTTTTACTCATCATAATTTTTCAAATAGTAAAATATGAAGAACAAGTTCAAGCTCATTTAACTAGAGTTCGGACCCTTAATTTTTCTGGATTGAGAATCATATAGTAGCTGAATATCTTGAAAGTTGATGTGGTCATGATATATCTTCATACTCATTAGAGAAAATCTCCAGTTTTATAGCTGTGCAATCATTGTTAATGATAAAATTTAATTAATAGTAGTGGGCTGGCGGCAAGCTGTTCTCTTTTTCCTAGTCCTTTAATTTATTTATTTATTAATTCATTAATGTATTAATATTAAATCTTTTAGCTGAAGTAGTCCTGCTATATTTCAACTTTAAGAATTCACGGTTGAAAGCAAAACTAGACTTAATTAACAACATGCTAAGGGTAAGTCTAACTCTTTAATCATTTACATCTTGATTGTTCATAGTGAAGGATACTCCTCCATTATACTAAACCCTAAAAAATCCAGCAACGGAAAATATAAAATAAATGTATATTATTATTATTTTTATTAATTAAATACATAAAATCAGGGATGAGTCACCTACAATCAAGGATGCAAGAGCAAATATTGCAGTGAATGTTGCTTAATCATGGTTAATCAATCAATGTATATTATTATTTTTATTAAATCACTTGACCAAGATAAGTTCTATTGATTTAGAGTAACGTAACACTCACTATTAAATTGGCTATTCTTCAAGCTAAAATGGTTAAGAAAATTGTCAAATTTGCATAATTCGCGCTAACAATAGTATAGGATGTCCTCTTCGATTTTCATCCTAACTTTGTTTAAACTAAATTTTAGTAACTAGAAATTAGAGAAGCAGCTCAACTTCATGACTGGTGATACAAAAGTTACTAAGTACTATATATGATCGTCCTAATTCTGAAACTCAGTGTATTAAACACATTTTTGTAAAAATATAGTATACAAGTAACATATATGACATTGTTTAGAGGAACGTCCAAATTAGTCTTGGATAAGATCTGAATATTTCCAAGTGTAATTATTCTTAAAAAAGTTAATAATAAAAATATTATGACGCACATACAAAAAAAAAAAGGAATGTTTGAGGTATAAAATTTAGCATAGTAGATAGTAAAAACGCAATCGATGCACTTAACTCCCACTATACACGGGTCCAAGAACGTGTCGGACCAGTAACCACGACTCACAAGGATACCGTACACATGCAGCCTTACATTATCAAGAATAAAACTTCAATAGTCAAATGCATAAAGAAAATGGAAGATAAAATATTATGTGTTGCAATCAAATCAGGACGAATAATGTTTGTCCATGGGACTAAGGTATTGATGGGAATATATGCCATTGTAGAAACTAAGCACGTAAAATAGGCTAAGGTTCTATATATACTCAGCATATCTAAGGCAAGATAATTGATCTTTGTTTTTATGGTACGTATTAATTAACTGTCTCTATCATTGCCCTCTAACACTAATATAGAATGAACAAATTCAAACAAAACGTATATTTGTATTCTCCCTTTAAGAATTTTGATCTTTTTAGATAAACTCATATTTAGAGACTTTATTCTAACGGAAAATTGTATATAATACCAAATTATTAATTCAAATTAAATGCTATAAACATAGTTTGATTTAATTGTACCCATAGCAAACTGTTGTTATTTCGCCTCTCTCCTGGTGAATCTCGCTCACCACTCTCCCAGATCTCGTTCGCCAATCTCTCCCTCGCCTCTCTCGCTTATACAAACAGAAATGTATAAATTGTGTTTTTGTTTGTATAAAACGAGAGAAAATTGTATATACACATGCAAATGTATATATTTTCGTCCTATACACTTACAATTATACAATATAAATATTCCCCTGCCTAGTTCTCTTTTGCCTTTCTCTCTTTCTCGCTTTATACAAACACATATTATACAATTGATCTTTTGTATATGTATACCGAAACAGAAACAAATTATATACAACTGCTTTCTTTTGTATATGTATAGCGAAATATACATATTTATGTTTGCTATGGAGCGCAATTATATAAATTATAGATATAGCATACAAATATAATATTTGTGTTTGCTATATGTGAAAGTTGCTCTTATTCTAATACCATCAATCATCTGTGAACACCTAATTTTTGACCAAAACATAAAAATTTTACACCCAATTTTAATACTTAAATATTATTATTTCAGTAGGGTTTTATTTAAAATAAACTGAAAATTACAACAAATTATAAGCTCACTTTATGTTTAAAGTTTAATAAAGAAAGCTTTTGAATTTAACGTATTTTGTTTTATTCTTTCAAATTTTATCTAGTCTAAAAAATAATAATAGTCGTATATATCATGGAAAAGTAAAAATAAAATAATAATAATAAAAGATAAAAAGAAGAGTCCTAAAAATTTCAAATTCCCTTACCTTTATCCTAATTACCCCCAACTTCCTTAACTTATTTACTAAAAATCCTCCTCCCATTTAGTTTATTTTATTTTTTTTCTTTTTTCTTTTTTTCTTCTATTTTTTTTTCTTTTCTTCCCCTCTTGCACGATCTTTTCTCTTTTTATTTTATTTTTTTACACGTTTTTTTTCTTTTCTTTCTTTTTCTGTTCGTTCTTTCTTTATTTTATTTTTTTATATTTTTTTTAAAATTATTTGTTTGTTAATATTTTTCT